ACAAAGATAACAAAACCAAGAGCTGGTTCTTTAAAAGGATAAACAAGATGGATGAACCTCTAGCCAGGCTCACCAAGAAGCAAAAAAGAGAGGACCCAAATAAACAAAATCAGAAATGAAAGAGGTGAAATAACAATAGAACCTGCCGAAATACAAAGGATTATTAAAAAATATTACGAACAACTCTATTTGAACAAACTGGACAACCTGGAGGAAATGGACATATTCCTAGAAAAATATAACCTTCCAAAACTCAAACAGGAAGAATCTAAACAGCTCAATAGGCCAATAACTATGAGAGAAATTGAAGCAGTCATCAAAATCTTCCGCCAAACAAAAGCCCAGAGCCAGATGACTTCACAGGAGAGTTTTACCAAACATTCAAGGAAGAAGTAAAACCTATACTCCTCAGACTATCCAAAAAAATTGAAGAGGAAGGAACACTTCCAAGCTCCATCTATGAAGCCAGCACCACCCTAATACCAAAACCAGATAAAGATAACATAATGAAAGAGAATTACAGGCCAATATCCCTCATGAACATAGATGCCAAAATCGTCAACAAAATTCTAGCAAATCGGCTCCAGCAGAGCATCAGAATATACACTGTGACCAAGTAGGATTTATCCCAGGAATGCAAGGATGGTACAGTATCCGCAAATCAATAAACGTGATACATCACATAAACAAATTGAGAGATAAAAATCACATAGTCATATCAATTAATGCAGAAAAAGCATTTGACAAAATCCAACAATCTTTCCTGATAAAAACTCTCAACAAGGTGGGAATGGAAGGATCATACCTCAATACAACAAAAGCTATAGATGATAAACCCACAGCAAACATGGGCAAAAACTAAAACCATTCCCTCTAAGAACAGGAACAAGACAGGGATGCCCACTTCACCACTCCTGTTTGACATAGTACTGGAAGTATTAGCCATTGCAATTAGACAAGAAGGAGAAATAAAAGGCATCCAAATTGGAAAAGAAGTAAAGCTGTCCTTATTTGAAGATAATATGATATTGTACATAAAAAAATCAAAAGACTCCATCAAAAAACTAATAGACTTAATAAATGAATTCGGCAATGTAGCAGGATACAATATTAATGCCAAGATATCTATGGCCTTTCTGTACACCAATAGTGAACTTACAGAAAGAGAGACTAAAAAAGCAATACCATTTACCATCACACCAAAAAATTAAGATACCTAGGAATAAACTTAAGTAAGGAGGTGAAAGACCTATATGCAGAAAACTACAGGACACTGAAAAAAGAGATAGAGGAAGACATAAACAGATGGGAGAATATACCATGTTCATGGATTGGTAGAATCAACATCATTAAAATGTCCATACTATCCAAAGCAATTTATATGTTCAATGCACTCCCCATTAAAATACCAACAGCATATTTCACAGACCTAAAGAGAACTCTCCAAAAATTCATCTGGAATAAAAAAAGATCCTGAACAGCCATAGCAATCATGAGAAAGAAGAATAAAGTAGGAGAGATCTCAATACCAGATTTTAAGCTGTATTACAAAGCCACTGTTCTAAAAACAGCATGGTACTGGCACAATTACAGACATATAGATCAATGGAATAGAACAGAGAATCCGAATATCGACCCAAACCACTATGCTCAATTAATATTTGACAAAGGAGGCATGAACATACAACGGAGTCAAGACAGTCTCTTCAATAAATGGTATTGGGACAATTGGACAGATAAATGCAAAAAAAAATGTAACTAGATCACCAACTTATACCATACACAAAAATAAACTCAAAATAGATACAGGACTTAAACATAAGATGGGAAACCATACAAATACTAGAGGAATCCACAGGCAGAAAAATCTCAGACATAAGCCAAAAGAACTTCTTCACTGATACTGCCCTAAGGCAATGGAAGCTAAAGAGAAAATAAATAAATGGGACTACATCAAAATAATAAGCTTTTTCACAGCAAAAGAAACCATCAACAAAACAACAAGAAAGCTCACTGTATATGAGAACATATTTGCAAATGTTATCAATTATTAAAGTTGTATCTCCAACATCTACAGGCACCTTATACAACTTAATAAAAGGAAGATAAATGATCCAATAAAATAAAAAAAAAAGGGCAATGGACCTAAATAGAATCTTTTCAAAAGAAGACAGAAGGAAAGCCAAGAGACACATGAAAATATACTAAAGTCACTAATTATCTGAGAGATGCAAATCAAAACGACAATGTGGTACCATCTCACACCTGTCAGAATGGCTATCATCTACAAATTAACAAATGATAAGTGTTGGCGAGGATGCAGAGAAAAAGGAACCCTCAGTGCACTTCTGGTGGGAATGCAGACTGGTGCAACCCCTGTGGAGAACAGCATGGAGTTTCCTCAAAAAACTAAAAATGGAACTCCCATTTGACCCAGTAATCCCGCTCCTAGGAATATATCCTCAGAAACTAGAAATACCAATCAGAAAGGATATATGCACCCCTATGTTCACAGCAGCACAATTTACAATAGCTAAGATTTGGAAACAGCCTAGGTGCCCATCAGCAGATGATTGGATCAGAAAACTATGGTACATCTGCACAATGGAATACTATGCTGCCATAAAAAGAAGGAATTCTTTTCATTTGCAGCAACCTGGATGGAATTAAAAAACATCATGCTGCGTGAAATAAGCCAGTCAATGAAAGAAAAACACCACATGATCTCACTCATTTACGATAATAAAGAACATTATAAACTGGTTAACAAAAAGATAGAGACAGAGACAAAAAAGCAATGACTGTCAAATTATAGAAGGAAGTTTAGGGAGATATGAGGGAGATAAGAGATAACCGAAGGACTAATATGCATGCATATAAGCATAACCAATAGATGCAAAACTCTGGGGCGTGAGGGCATGCACAGGAGTGGAGGGAGGGGCAATGGTAAGATATGTACACAAATAATACCTAAATAAATAAATAAATAAATAAATAAATAAATAATACCCCAATAATTAAATAAAACACCTCAAAATTAGATATTCTGCTACAAAATAAGTTCAACTATTCATTACAAGCATGTTATCCTGAGCTATGGGGAGAGGGGATACTAGGGGGAATGAAGGGGTGTGTATATACGTGGGAGAAAGATAAATATTCCTAATGAGTATTGTAAATAACACTACTGAATTTTGGTATTACTGTTTCAAAGACAATGAATAATAGTCTACCTAAATGCAGTCTCTGCAGGCACACACACATGGTATGCTATAGTATTGCCCTGCCTCATGTTAAATAATCATCAGAGTATGAGAGTTGTGCTAACAAGAGCATTAGTATGAATGAATAAATAATAGAAATTTAATTCATCAAAGACATATGCAAACCTGTTAAATACCACTACTTTTGACCCTGAATCCCTAATCTGGGACAAACTTACCACACAGCACAGACCACAAAAGCACACATCTTGTAGCCTGATATCTGAGATTGCATTCTGGCTCTTCCTCCTAACATTTTATGGTGCCTTGAGCAAATAACAACCTCTCTGCTTCCTCATGGCAAAACTATAAAATGGAGGTAACAGAACCTATCTATTATGTTATCCTATATAATAAAAAGCTAATATGCAAATCGACCAAATTAGGAAACAACTGATCGCTATGAAGTACACTGATTATCAGGGGGCAGATGCTCAACGAAGGAGCACCACTCAGCCAGAAGCCAGGCTCACAGCTTGCCTCCGCAGCAGCCCTAAGGATGTCCAACTGCCGGCTTAGGCCTGCCATCAGTTGGACATCCCCCAAGGGCTCCAAGACTGCGAGAGGCTGCAGGCTGGGCTGAGGGACTCCCACCTCCTCCCTATCAGTGCACGAATTTCATGTACCAGGCCTCTAATAAGGTATAAAAAAATTATTGCATGTTAAGCATTTTACAGTGTATGGCATAGTTATATGCTCAAAAAAATAGGTAAGAATGTATATAGTATTAAAATGACAACACATTAACCTAATAAGCATGTCACTGATGATCTTTCGTAAAAGCAGCTTTATGCTTATATATGTTCTTAAGTGTCTATTTTTTTTTTTTATTAAAGTATAGTTGACATACCGGTATACTGTTTTCAGATGTACAAAATAGTGATCTGACATTTGTATTCCTTAGAATGATCACCACCTCAGGTATCTATTTCAAAATCTGTGCTTCCTTCCATGTCTTTCTATGAAAATACTTTTGATGCTCAACAACATGATACACAGGGCACAATTTTGTTATCAACCTATTGAACCTTCTCTATTTTTATATAGTCCAAAACAAGAGACCCAACAAATAAGGTAAAAACAGAGAAAAACACCAAGTTCTTGAAAATAGACCACTAGAGAGCAATTTTCCTGACAGCCAAATGAAGAACCACCAACCATTAAATGCACATCACATTTTCTGAAATAACCAAGAAAAAGAAAAAGAATATCCTGGAGATAAATGAAATGCTATCTCATTTATTGAGAAAGATATAATGACCTCTGAAATAAACCATACCTAAAAAGGTAACTTTTGGTATACAAATTATATTTAGCTTTTTTTTTTTTTTTTTTAGTATTCATTTTTAAAATATCTCTACACTGGGAAAGTCAAACCTATTTTAAACAATAGGAATTAAATGGAACTAAATACTAAATAAAGTTTTTTCAAAACAATTTTCTATAATGTTTTATATAGTCTCTTACTCTTTTAGATGTCTTAAATATAAATTTTTATATTTTAGCTTATAGAAATAGTCTAACTGCTGTGTAGTTCTTTAACAGACACTAATGTACTTGGGAAAAATCATTTTAAAACATATACATGCACAATGCGTGCAAATGGTTATTAAGAAATAGCAAATATCCCTTTCATTATATTTTTCAGTATCTTCTCAATCAGTAAAATGGAATGATATCATTTCCATGCCACAAACACGAACAGCAACACATAGAGACAAATGCAATCTTGCTTACCATGCCAAACTGCTGCATGTCCATCCCACAGAGTTGCTACTGTCTTCCTTGCGCCATCCCATAAATTATGAGAATAGGCTTCTTTTAATACATTCTTCCTCTTATAAATGTGTAAGAAAATAATAGTAAGGTAGAGAAGAAAAATAGTAAAGTAAGGAAGTATTAAAAGTATTAGTGGTGTAAAAACCCATACGAGATAGTTTGCAAAATTCAAATAGTCCTCCAATTGTTCCACACCAAACCATCCTTCAAATATGTGAATCAGACAACTCAAATAGGGCATAGAGTCCTGTCCTGTACAGGTTTGATTTTTGTCTATCATTTTTCTTTAGGTGAAAATGACAAATTCAGTTTCTTTCTTCATTATCATGACAAGTCTTTAATTTTGACACTAGAAGGGAAAAATAACCCAATGTTATTCTTTTCATAGCTAAAAACTTAAATATTTTAGTCTACATAAATACTATATGAGTAGATTGTTGCAGATTTAAATGTAAAAATTATAAGGTTTCATTTGACCACTCAGAAAGTGAGTCAGGTTTAGCTTTTAAAATAACTCACAAGTTATAACTGAGAGAGGGATATAAGGCAGATGAAGAATGAAACTTCAGATTGATGTTAATAATTTGACTTTTACTTAAGTATATCATACTGAACGTTTGTATCTTACACCAGGTTATGTTGAGATAATGCTATTTTTCACAAAAGATAATATAATATTAACTGATTCAATAAAAGTAACTCACATCTTTAGGAAATTATGACACACATTTTTGGCTATTACCTTTTATAAGCAAGTATATAGAAAAGCTGTCTTTTCATTTGGCATTATGTAGTAAAATTTTATCAGCATCATTCTTATCTTCTAAAAATTATCTTAAATCTTAAATGACTGAAAATATAGCCATACAATTATTTTATGTTATTCTCTAAATATGTCAATTAACTTACCAGAAATTAGATAAGTATCTTGTCCCAAGCTTCTTTGTATGTATTCTGAAAAACATATATAAATGAGAAAAAAATGTGATTTTTAAAAAGATAATCAATACTAGAGTTAAAGTTTTCATACAATAGTAACAGACATTCACAAATGTGCAACAAATATGAAAACAGCCCACACTAGTGTATCACAATTAAAAATTATACTCACCCAATATATGTTAGTGAGGACACCTCTGTATACTGTCTACACGTTGTTTACTTCCCACCTGAGACTTTTTTTTTTTATAGCAAAGGTGTAAATTTATTGAAGAACAAGTACAGACTTGCACGTGGGGAGAAGGAAAGAATCTCACAGCATAGACTCTCAAGTGGAGAGGGGGAAAGGGTCCCAAGACTTTCTTTTCTTTTTTCTTTTTTCTTTTTTTAATTCAGAGCTCAGAGCTATGAAAAACTGTGCTTCTTCGGAAAAAAGAATATGAAGTTAGGTTTGTAATTGACCATGTTTTGTGTATTTTTTTAATAAATTTGCCAGATAATAAGCTGGTTAGACATGATGTTCAATGATACATTTACATTAGCCCTTATGATCATGTTCTCCCATTTCTTTCTGATTCTATTCTTAGAGGTATTTTATCATTATTCCATACACCATCATCATAATGAAAATAATCTCAAATCCCTTAGGGATGAGACATGAAATAAATGAGATAGAGGAGGGAAATACAAAAGCAATTAAACGCTGTCTTAATGTCAAGATTATCTTGCTAACTGTCTTATTAGCTGGGCATGCACTTTGACTTGTTCTTCATGAGATGAAGAACTTGTCTAATTTCCTTGTAAGCATTATTTGTGAAAAATGTGGACCTATAATGGTAACAGAAGCAAATACAGTACACATTAAGACTGGGCTTATCCTGGCCAGGTAGCTCAGTTGATTTGAGAATCATCCCAATACACCAAGGTTGTGGGTTTGATACCTGGTCAGGCACATACAAGAAACAACTACCCTAGCTGGTTTGGCTTAGTGGATAGAGCATAGGCCTGCAAACAAAGCCCACTGTATTTTTTAAAATGTGTTACTTACTATCGATATTTTGAGAGAGAAACATATCAATTTGTTGTTCCACTTATTTATGCACTCATTAGTTGTTTCTTTGTTTTGTTTTGTTTTGTTTTGTTAAAATTCACCTGAGGATTTTTTTCCATTGATTTTTAGAGAGAGTAGAAGGGAAGGAGAAATAGAAAAAACATCCATGTGAGAGAGACACATTGATTGGTTGCCTCCTGTACATGCCATGGGGCCGAGGATCATCGATCCTGCAACTGAAGGGTTACAGGCTCAATTCCGGTCAAGGGCATGTACCTCAGTTGAAGGATCGATGATCCTCGGTCCCATGGCATTGGAGGCTACCAATCAATGTGTCTCTCTCACATGGATGTTTTTCTCTCTCTCCTTCCCTTCTACTCTCTTTCCCCTCTACTCTCTCTAAAAATCAATGGAAAAAATCCTCAGGTGAGTTTTAACAAAGGGAAGGAAGGAAGGAAGGAAGGAAGGAAGGAAGGAAGGAAGGAAGGAAGGAAGGAAGGAAGGAAGGAAGGAAGGAAGGAAGGAAGGAAGGAAGGAAGGAAGGAAGGACTAATAAATGCACAAATAAGTGGAACAACAAATCAGTATGTTTCTCTCTCAAAATAAGTAACACATTTTAAAAAATACAATGGGCTTTGTTTACGTCAGATTCTAATTAATCCATCTAAAGAGTTAAATGACTACAATTACCAGTGTTTGATCATTTAGAATGTTAACATAGAAAAGCATTTTTTTTTTTAAATTAGACTTTTCCCCACTAGGATGGCTATAATTTTTTAAAAATGGAAAAGAACAAGTGTTGGTGAAGATGTGAGAAATTAGAACGTTCACATATTGCTGGTGGGATGTAAGTGTTGCAACCACTGTGGAAATCGATTTGACAGTTCCTCAAAAAGCTGTTACTCCAGAGTTACCAAATGACCCAGCAATTCTACTCCTAGGTATATACCCAAGAGGAATGAAAACATATTCACATAAAAATCTTTATATGAATGTTGACAGCAGCATCATTCATAACAACTAAAAAGTGGAAATAAACCAAGTGTCGTCCATCAACTGACGAACAGATAAAGAAAGTGTGCTATACCATATAAGAGAATACTATACATGTATAAAATGTATTGAATTACTGGCTCATGCTACAATATGCATGAACCTTGATAATATTATAATAAGTAAAAAATAGTCACACACTAAGGGCCACATTTTATATGATTCCATTTATATAAAACTAGAGGCCCAGTGCACAAATTCGTGCATAAGGAGCAAGATGGGAGGGGGAAGGGATGAGGAAGGTTGGCAGGGGTTAGGGACACGGTAGGTTGTCTGCTGGCCCTTGGCCTCCCAGAAAAAAGGACTGCATCCAACGCCACCCATTCCCGGTCCCAGCCTAGGTCCAAAGTCCCCAACGGGGTCAGGAGAGGAGGCAATGGTCGCCTGGCTGGGCACAGAAAGAATGGACGCCAGACTCCGATCCCACCCTCGGTGCCCCACCACTGCATGGTTTCCCACCTCTCCCCCTCCTCCTTCCCTCACTGCTGCACCACCACCATGGTGAGTAGGCGGCCCCAGGGAAAAGGGAGAGAACGGGAGCAAGACAAACCCTTGTGTCAAGGGCTGACGTTCAATAGATTGCAGCGAGGGAGCTGCTCTGCTGCATACAAAATCCCGGCTCAGAATCAGGTCTCTATGGATAGTTTAATACCAGGGGCTGATTGGGGCCGGCTGGCCAGGGGGCAGGGCTGTGGGAGATTGGCTGTGGTAGCACACTGACCACCAGGTGGCAGCTCCTGCATTGAGCATCTGACCCCTGGTGGTCAGTGTTCATCATAGAAACTAGTGGACCAGTTGTTGTGATTGTTCAGTCGTAATGGTTACTTAGGCTTTTATATAGATACCTAAAACAGGCTAATCCACAGAGACAGAAAAATTAGTGATTGGTTGCCAGGATGAAGCAATGAGAACTGACTGCTAATGGAAACAGAGATGTCTTCTAGAGATAGTGAAAATGTTCCAATAGTAGTGATGATTGTACAACTTTGTGAATTTACTAAAAAGCCACTGAAGTGTATGCATTTTATAATGATGAATGTTACGGTGAATTATACCTCAACAGAAAAAGAACTTTTAGAAATCCTATATAATAAAAGGCTGATACGCAAATTGTCCCCTCAAGTTCAACCAACGCTATGATGTGCGCTGACCATCAGGGGGTGGCACAGAATGAAGGCCCTGACTGGCAGCCGGCAGCCAGGTGAAGGAAGGCCCCGATCAACCCTGATCAAAGGCCTGTGTACAAATTTCATGCACTGGGCCTCTAGTTATTAATAAATTAAAATTTATGATAGATTTTCTTAGGCCTAAAAATCAATCTTTTTGATGATCTGAAATACAATTAATACAATTGCTCCTAATAATCTTGTCTCATTTCTGATTTTTAATGGGATTGCAAAATCTTATCATTTTAAAACCTCTCCCAACCCAAATTGGTAAGCAAACTACACCTCTTATCCTCAATCACATTCTGATTTATTACACATACTAACGCACACAGAAAAAAGAGGAACAGGGTATAGGCAGACGTCCAGTGAGTTTACAAGGAAACCTGCATGAGATACAGCAGTGCTTTAATAGTGCCCCAGGTCTGGGTGCACGAACCGAACCTCCACAAAAGGTTGTCCATGATTCCAATGTAAATCCTTCCAGAACAGAAAGCTCAAAAGGTGTCCCATTCCTTCTTCAAAATTACCCACTGAAGGTCTAAAAAGATCTTCCTTACACAATCCTCACTGTAACTTTTCCCTGCTGAACCTAGTTCTGTACTGTCGACAACCATTAGACAACCTCTTTAAGTTTCAAAACAGCTATCATGAGCTGTGAAATCCCCTTTTCTAGTCAGCATCCTTAATTCTTTCAACCATATTTCAGATGCTGGTTTCATAGCCTTTCACCACTCAGGCTACTTCCTGATATTGAGAGGAGATAGAAAAATATACAACAGAGTAAGAAGAATATGGAGATCTATAGTAGGCAAGACGGTACAAGGGGTAGAGGGGTACTATGTTACATAGGTACTTTGGGAAGGCCTCTATAAAAGTACATTTAAGCAGAGACCTCAGGAAGTGAGGAAATAAACAATGTGGGTATTAGAAAGAGAATTCCTGACTAAATGAACAGTAAGTACAAAGGATGGACACTTTGTGTGGTCTGCCGAGCAGCTCAGTAGACTAAAGAAGCATGATAGGGAGAGCAGTCAGAAATGGGCAGAGAGAGCGTGTAGAACTTTATCT